ACGTCCCCTTGTTTTAAGGCTGAGTTCACCTGAAACTCAGACTGAAGAAGTCTCGGAGGAGAGATGAAACTTTTCACTAAAGAAGAACCCATCCAGAGGACCTGCTTATTTTTTCTTTTTCATCTAACCACAGTGTTCGAGGCGCAGACAGCCTACTTGGAAAATGAAGGAGTTGTGGACACTTCAKCAGCTCGACGTACCTAACATCGAGCAGAAGACCTTTGAAGGTGGTCAGCGGCCTTCTGGCTCCTTTGACCCGAACGCTTACATCTCCCCTATCGCTGTCCTCCGACCTCAAACTGTCTTCCAGGAAATTCACCTGTAACAACAAAAACCATGCATTAAAAAACTAAATAGATATGGATTTTAAAGTCACGTGACTCTATTTTCTTCTTCACCCTTGCCTTACATGAAAAAGGAAGCTGTCAGTTCACAAACGGCTTGTTAATAATTTACAATTCTAGTGAAATACTGGTCAAAAGTCAGCGCTATAATAATAGAATCTTTATTGAACTGTTGTTTTTTTATTTTACAGGGAAACTTGTGAGCTTTGTTCCAGTAGGGTCTCTAGAAGGAGCACACAACAAGCCTGTCTGTGTCAAAATAAGGAACCTAAGTGACCYATAAACTCGTGATTTTTCCTGAGTGAAATAAAAAAAGAAGCCCTTGAACGAAAGTAGTTCAACCAGGCCAGAAGTCATGAGATCACTTGAGCACGAGTGCTTTAACTTCAACAAAATGCTCACAACYGTTGACCTAACTGTACTCTGCAGACAGACCACAGACTCCACAAAGGCTGACTGGATAGAAACTGAGGAACAACTAAAATCAATGTGAGCAGTTCGGGGGATGAAGTAGGTCAAATTGAGGAAATGAACGCTTTGAACACACGGTGCGTTCAATGGGACACAGTTACTGTCAAAAGGGGAGAAGAGGGAGTAAAGGTAAAGTCCCATCGACTAGACATGTGATAGAAACACCGTCGTCTCAAAAAGGAAGTGTAYATTTTCTCATAAAACCTGCCAGCTTGATTAAATGTCTTTGTCATGCTGCAAATAAAGACATCAAGAGATAACCAGCTTCTGATCAAATTTATTAGTTTTCAAAAGCAAGATTTAACACAATTAGGTCATCAAAATGCTTAGTAGAAAAATATAACATCCTCAAATTAGAGTATAAAAATTTAGAACAGTGTTCAGTTTGATATTAATGCTTTAATTAAAAAGACCACCACATTAGTGAGAAAAATCATTGGCCGTCTTTCCGCCACATGCAATATAAAATCCCATCACATGATACAGAACAAAAATAGATTTATTGTGAGAAACAAATTTAATGACTATAAAGAAATGAAAGACCACCATGAAATGTAGTGATTTACACACATTGTGTACGATATGAAACACAAGGACAGAGAAATTACTGATAATTGAATTAACAAAATGATGATACATATTAAAACAAAACAGAGTTGTCTTCATGATTAGAGCTTCCAGGTTAGGGTAAAACTTGGTTAAAAATGTTAGAGAACATTGAAAAAAGTTGCTTTAAAGGGATCCACGTTGTAACATTCAACTTTACTTGATAAACGTTTATTTTAACTGTAAAATAAAGACTGTAAAAATACTGTAGCCTGTTTAGTTTTGTAAATTTTTTAAAATATATTTTAACATGGATGGAGCCATTTTATTTACACGCAAAGCATTCTGGGTAACTGATGACATCAACTAGGTCATCGATGCGAGGCTGCTAGCGAGCTATATCCACCCTGAAGGTTAATCTTGGACAATATCTGATGATCGACTCTTTTAAATGAAACCAGAGAGCGTTGACAGAGAGGAGAAGGTAGAAATGACTCAGYCTGKAACTGAAAATATRGATGGAGGACAACAGAGCTGCTTCATGGAAGAAGAACCTCAGCTTAGTCTGTTAGCCTTCAAGCTAGCGCCAACGCTATATTGCCTTATATGTATTAGCTCGGCGCTAGAGCGACAAACAAGCTAAACTGAGGTCCTCCATCCATATTTTCAGTTGCAGGCTGAGTCATTTTTGTGTTCCCCTCTCTGTCATGTGGATGGAGGACCTCAGTGACGAGGAGAATGTAGCGCTGAGCTAATACATATATATGGTGATAGTGTCGGGGCTAATGCTAAAGTTAACAGGCTAAGCTGAGGTTCTTCTTCCATGAAGCAGCTCTGTTGTCCTCCATCCATATTTTCAGTTCCAGGCTGAGTCATTTCTACCTTCTCCTCTCTGTCAACGCTCTCTGGTTTCATTTAAAAGAGTCGATCATCAGATATTGTCCAAGATTAACCTTCAGGGTGGATATAGCTCCTAGCAGCCTCGCACCGATGACCTAGTTGATGTCATCATTTACCCAGAATGCCTTGCGTGTAAATAAAATGGCCCCGTCCGTGTAATATATTTTTAAACTTTTAGTTTAAAAATTACAAAAACTGAACATCCTACAGTATTTTTACAGTCTTTATTTTACAGTTAAAGTATATGTCTAATGTTACAACTAATCGGGGATCCCTTTAAGATTAAGTGCTGAGTGTTAACTTGGTCTACTGTAACAGAACAGTAATTATCTTAGCAGTATTAAAATATAAGGTTAGTTGATACATATAAAATGAAATTAACAGAGGCACTAGTGCTTATTTATCCTTCACCAATAGCTAATTAAGCAGAATGTGTGTGATTGTTGGTGCTAACATGACGTCAGCTGCTTGTAATTAAAAAGGCACGACTAAGTGACAAGATCAGGATTTTTTTTCTTGGTGGTGGGGGGTCAACTCTCAGATAGAAATGCAAGGTCCGTGACGGGCCACGGGTTATGTCAAGGAGTGGCAGCAGCACCATCAGGTGACTGTGACAGGAGGTGTAGTCACAACAATGTACACCTGCCAGTCCAGTCTGCAGAGATCGTCCAGACTCTGTGTTCCTGCTTGGTGTGGTTGTGATCACTGCCTTACCACAGCCAGCCCTTGTTTCAAGACAAAAAAGGAAAAAAGAAGAAAAAAAAAATAGAAAGAAAGGAAAAAAAAGAGACAGGAAATTAGCTCCCCGAAGCCAACGTCAGCTCAGCGCATCCTGGAGGACTATAGATTGAGACGACTGACAAGGTGGAGGAGGAGGAGTTGAGAGCTTTATTTATTTATAGGTTGTGAATCAGGAAGCATAAACACTGCGTGGAATGCACTCAGACAGGGTAAGAGCTCAAAGAGCCGGGTACATTAACACAGCGCCACAAGTTTAGACACTGCACGGCTACCAAAAATAACATCCACTAAATAAACTAGTTTATTTTGTGTTAAACACAAACAGCGAGCTGACACAGCTTATTAACCCCTAAGCCTTCATTTCAAACTCTCAACACTGGCCCAGCTTTCACATCACAAGCTTTTTTTTTTCATTTAGATATTCAAACTTTCACATACATGCAAAAAAGGGAGAAATAAAGCAGGGAGAAAAGTAYGGGTTAAGCAGGAAGTTATTAAGTGGGTGGTCTTATCTGCTCGATAGCGCTAAAGCCGTGAAGGAGGAAGCCTCCAGGCAAAAGTGTGGTGCTCAGGGCTTCACTTTTAATGAACGTGTGACCTTCAGCCCGAGTTAAGATGACCCGAATGGTCCAAGTTGGACATAAAAATCTAATTTTTGAACTACTTTATTCTCACGCTGAACAGTTACAACCTCCCAAAGACCCTCTGTGTGCTGACAGGCACATAAGCTCTGTTCTATTTAGTCACGTTTTCTCTGTGTGTTAAGAGTCACCTCAGAGCGATTGTGCAAGCTTGATTTTAACAAGCTGCCTTGAAATACATCTTCCTCTTCCCAGCAGGGCTTACATGTCGTCAGAGGACCACAGTCGCTGCTAATTACTTTTTACAAACGCATTTAAACAAATCCTGAYCTAAGATGAAGCTCCGTAACCTTTCTAACACCTGAAGTAAACCGATTGTGAAGAGTTTATGTTTATGATAAAACAAGCCCTGAAACTCAAGTCTGTTGATTATAYTGAGGCTAATGATTAACGAACACAGTCCACTTTATAAATCTTCATCTCTGGTTTATTTGATGAAAATAAGCTTTGGGTGGCAGAGCACAAACGGGCCTTATTTGAGCAGAACAGAATGATCTTTTTGAAGTGAAGTTCAAATTAATTCTAATAAAAAACAAACATCTTACCTGCTGTAGATGAGTCAGTTTGGAGAAATCAATTCTGATCAAACTGACGAGCTAATGGCTGGTCTGTTTTTTAAAAATGTTGATTCATATTGTCTTTTTGTTTGTTTATTTGCTGTTTTATGACAATTAAATTATCAGAACTATAACTTCTTTAATAAATCAGCAGMGTAACAAATAAACAAAACTGCTTATTTGCACCGTTCTTCAACAAGAATTTCTAAAAGTCTATATTTCTTGAAATGATTCCTCCATTACTCCTCAATCTACTTCTAAGCTGTTTTTTTTTCCATCTTTCTTTTGTGCCTGGAAGCTAGAAAAGAAGCTAAAAAGATTATAAAGCGAGCGGCTGAACAGTCCTGCAGGAAGTAAGCAGAATGTGGGACATGAGTGACATAAGCTGTGGGCCAGCGACAGTCGGGGAGCAGCACTGGTGACACCAGTCTGAGGAGGAGACGACAGCAGCGGTAGAATATTCAGCCCGCAGGTTGTCTCAGAGATGGGGCTGCGTGCTGCAGGGAGAAGAGGAGTCTGGTGACAGCGTGGAAAGGCTTAAGTAACAGACCCTCTGTGGACCACATGAGGAACATGAGGAGATGCGGCGCGGTGCCTGCGAGGGCTTTTTAGGGGATTTAAATCCGAGCCGAAGACACCAGGAGTTAACTCCATGGGCACACAACGATTAGGMGGCTTGATGATTACCGTATCAGCGGAGTGTTTTTTTTTTTAACGCGGCCTGATTATGGGCTGTAATCTGAGGTTCAACTGAAACAAAGCAAGGCGAGGAGGGGTTTGTGAGTGTAATCTGATGACAACTACTGCTAACAAACACAACTCCTTCCAATTACTAATAGGGGTATAGGAAAATATCAATACACGATATATATCGATATTTCATTTCCCGATACTGTATCGATTTTCTAAGCCCCTGTATCAATTTTTAATTAAGGTTTAAAATGTCAACTTTCCTGCCAATGGTTCATTTTTATGTTGTAGTTCAGCCTCTGACCGCTAGTTGGCAGCAGTGAGCCAGCCATTTGGCTCCTCTACTCCTAAGGAGCCAGAGAGTAACGGTAGCATTAGCATGGTGAGTAAACATTAGCATCGTGCACCGATAGACGAATCTGAGCAGAAAAGATCGACACCCTCTGCCTTCTAAGCTGAGGTAAGGTTACAAACAGTCCCTTATTAGTCAGAATGTCTGTATTTTAAGCCAAATTGAAGTGTCTCGTCCGGGGCGCTCTTTTTCCAACTATGGTCAGCCGTCATGTTACGGAAGGCAGGCATGCATCTAGTGCTTCAGGCTTAGGGGGTGTTGTGCGAAATTCAGTTGCCCTGTGAAAATCTGTCCCCCCCCTGTGTCTGGAGGGCAGAGTGACAGATCCGACCATTTTCACAAAACTTCTGATGAATTTCTTGTTAAAAGGATTCACATAATCTTGTCAAGGTAACTTTCAGTTTTATCATCAGCTGCTGTTAAAAAAACTCTAAAATAAATAAATAAATAAAAACTGGCCTTTTTTTAAATCACAGAATGAGTCCTTATCAGTCCTTTTCCAACTTTTCTCATGCTCTCTTTAGGCCTCACTATTTATCAGTCAGCCACCAAACACAGTCTTCCAACACATTGTGTGTATTTATTATTTTTTTATTGCTGATACAAGAACCAAATATTTCAGTTGTTTAAAATAATCTTTTCCCACTCTGTAACATGGGAACAAAATAATTTACCTCCAARTMTTTAACTGTGTTAATTACTCTCATCATAAACAACAAATCCTGAAGATTTGGGAAAATTTGCTCTTTATTGGCCAAAGTTACCTGGATGGACCCAACTATTATTTAAGCTTGTAAGCTACAGTTTGCACAGTTTCAATAAGAGAAAACTAATTGTCTCGCCACATCTTTGATTAATTTTGTCCAGCTGTAGACTAGGTCTCTGTCCAATCAGAGCCAGGTATTGTGTAGTTGGTGCTTTTAATCAGTTTTCAGTTCAATTAATTCAATCCAAGTCTATGGAACAGCCAAAAAATGTCACCACAATCACTCTGTCCCTCTAAAATCATTCAGAAAATTGAATCGTATCGAATCGTATCGTTTGCTGAATATCGTGATATATATCGTATCGTGAGCAGAATATCAAATATCGTATTGTATCGTGAGATTAGTGTATCGCTACAGCCCCAGTTACTAGTAACAATTTCATTCATAACCATAATAAAATCTCACAATGAGCAGTCTTCTCACTCACTCTTGCGTAGTTAAATAGTGTGAAAGCTTAAATATTTATTTCTAAGTGTTTAATTCATTTTAAAGGGGACAAATCACGCAAAATTGACTTTTTTAGCCATTAAATCCATTTTTTTTGTGTACTCTGAGTCTCTAGGAAATTTTGAATTTAGTCTCTCTTGTTGCTGCGTCGACATATTTAAATTCTGTTTAGGTCATATTTTTCAACCTGTTCAGTTTTCTCTATTTTCTTTGACATTTTCTGAACTGCTAAATAAGGTCTGGACTCCAACATGTAAGGCTGGATGAACAAGTCCTCCCTTGTTGGCATCTTTTAATTAATTTGTAAATTTAAAGTTTCAGCTTTTCTTTTTAGTCGTGAACTTCTCTGTCAAATTAGAATAGCCCACTCTGGAAGCTGGATGGGGTGGGGGGAGGAACGCCCCCTTGTCTGGATATAAAGAGACGGCGTCAAAACGAGTTAATTTGASACACACATCAGAAAAGGGCTGAAAGAGGGGCTTGTTGAGTTACAACAAGGAGGAATTCAGACCAAAGCATTGCAATTTAAATGTGAAAAAGAAGGATTAAAAAAGCATGATAAGTCTCCTTAAGCCTCCAAATGAATCAAAAACAGTAAAGGTGAGAGAATATGTACCTTTTTGGGCTTTGGCACAATGTCAGAGGTGCTTTCTATTTCACCCAGTTTGCTGTCGGCATCATCGTCGATGACGATAGCTCCGTTTTCATTGATGGGCGTCTGGAAGTCATCATCAGGTAGAGGTGGGTAGTTGTACATGAAGGTGTCCTGGAATACGGAAACAACTTTAGTTCACCAGAGACTCAACTCTTTAAAGGTTTTCATGTCATGTGTTCCTCTTCTGGCTTCCCTGGACTTGCACACAGACAAACACGACGACAAAAGAAAGAAACTATAAAACTTGTGCTTGTGATGCAGATGAGCTGATAAACGTAATCAAAGAAACTCAGAGCAAAATAACAATTAAAAAGGCACATTTTTATGTTTTTTCCCACTGATCTTAAGACGAATAGCTGTATAATAACTTAGTTCCCCTTAAAAATTACATCTGTTAGTCAATTCTAAACCACTCTGACTCTGCATTAAAACTTCTCCAAACAACAGAAAGTTATGAAGTTTTTAGTGAAATTTGGTGCATTAGAAGTGTAGGAGAAAAAAAAAAAGCACACCGTTCCGCCCATGTGAGGAGGCAGGTATTCTAAATCAATGAACGTCTGGACCTCAGCTCGGGAAGCAAACCTCAGCTTGCTGAYTGCCTCTGGGCCTAACCACGTCCTCACAATTTTCCATGCAGCTGTGGCGAAGAGAGGTTGAGGAGACAAACGTTTGGTACTGTTAGTGAAACCACTAAAAGAAATAAAAATTTAATTTAACTCAGTCTTACCATTCATGATCCAAGGCATATCCACTATGACCATTTTGGCTAAAACAAACAAACAAAAAAGCAAACAAAATGTTCATAAATTCAGACTTTCAGGCTAGTTATCACTAATAAACAGACTTTTTTGGCTTTCATACAATAAATGATACTTACATAAAAACTTGGGATAGTACACTTTAAAGCAGTTGATGATGTACTTTACAAATTCCATGTCCTAAATAAAAGAAGAAAGAAATCAACAAGTTAAAAAAGTGCATCTACGAGTGTAGGAGAATGTTTGTTCTCTGTTTGCTGCTTCTAGATCGGATGTGACCCGCTTAAGATGAAATGAATTTTCACTGCAAAAACCCATCAGCATGATTCCCATCTCTGCTAATTCTTCAACTACAAYGAACCAGAAATTCTGAGCAAACAAAATGGATGGTAGCAAATTGTGAAGCATTAAATAATTGCTAACATGCCATACGATTTTACATAAATTCATATATGTGGTTCTTATTCACGTTGGTGTTCTTATCTGATTTGAAACGATCAGACAAGCAGCCCAAATGCCAACAGGTAGGACCCCTACAACCCAGCTAGGTTTCATAATTGGCTAGAAGCCTCATTGCTATGCAGGGGACTCACCGCCAAACCCTAATGAGATCATCCAGGTCTCCCATAGTCTCACCACCACCGTGGTCCAACAGATATCAATCAGACACGAATCTTTTAAAGCTACTCATTTTATATTTAGGCTTTATAGCTCTTTCKTCTCCCCCGTCTCACTCCTGTTGGTTTATTTGCATTTAATTGAACCATTTATTCTGTAAAGAGCCCAGCCAGTGCAATACACTCACGAMGGACGAGCTCCGTGAGGGAGCGGACGTCTGCGACAAAGTGAGTCAAAAGGATTAGACGGCCCACTCGAATTGACCATCGGGATTTAGAGGTGACTTTAATCTCCAAAGTGTTAAACCATTAAAGAGCATTGGTCTCTGCAACACCACAGCTCAAACAGCAAGAAATATGWGCGGAAGCAAAGGGATGGCTGGTCTCTAACAATTGTGCATTGTAAATATCATAAAAGTGATTTTAAAAAGGCAATGCGAATACTACAAAAGATGACTAATAYAAGACTCAGTTCATTGTTTGGACTTACTATATTGCTAATGCCGGACTCAGACATRTCAAACACAACGGTGAGTGGCATCCCAGGTTCTTTCTTGGCATACCGTTCCAACCAGAAGGCGACATACTTCTTCTTGTCCAGGATGGTTTTAGCATCTTTGACGTGCAGCTTCACCCTGAACCAGACTAAACACAAAGAAACAGCTTGGTTTTATAGACRAAGTCAGTAATTTGTATTACAAATGATAATAGATAAAGTGTAGGTGTGGAGCAGTGTAATGTAAATGGGTAACAGTGTAATAAAACATGTAGGTACAGAGTTTGTTGCCCTCTTTGTCGTAGCCATGGAGGTAGACAGCACCGGACTCAAACATCCACTTGGGAATGGTGCTCTCAGTAAGGTCTGAAACAAACAGGGTGAAACACAGGAGTTAACACCACTGTGACACGGCTGGCAGTGATCTGCAAAGTTCTTGTGTGGCTTTTGTTCTATCTGGACATGACTTGTGAGGCACAAAATGCCTTTCATTTGTCCCAAATAAACAATATTAAATATAGGCACTTATAAAACCAAACAGCTTAATATTTTAAAGGAAATCAGAAATTGTCACATTTTTGTTGGTGTTTAAGGCCTGAAATTGYCTACTTGTCCTCATTTCTTCTGTAACGTTTCAAATAAAGACCCAACAGCATACGGACTGAGCAGAGGTTGTGCTAGACTTTTTTTGTCGTCCGTCATTTTGACTGACAGGGTAAAAAAATCAGTCATGATCAATTTTTACCAGTCACTTTCTTTTTTAAATGATAATGACTGAAAATTCATAGAATGTGGCTATTGTCATGTTGGTTTTGCAGTTCTGCCTCAGATGCTGTGCCTGTAGGGTTTTATTGGAGAAAATTTCATCAGCGCACCTCAGACTACAGGCCACGTGAGCGCGATGCGCACGGTGCTGAAAAACAGCGCATCTGACCCAACGCGCACAATCACGCACACACACTGTCCCACTTTTGACTCAGTTACTGTACGAAAAGTAAAAATAATAATAATAATAAAAATATCTACAAACGTTCTTTAGTGGCAGCAGTTTGCAACATTAGATAATGCCTCCTTATTTCTGTCTCTGCCTCCCTTGCAAGAGGACGAGAGAAAAGAGAGAGGCAGAGATGCAGTCAGTCATAACGCACCGCTGCCACCGTGTTAAAAAATATTATTAAACAATAACAGAAAACGAGTAGATTTGATTTATGCAATAAAATGTCTCTGAGGAAAATCTCACGTTACGCACATCTGCGCCGGTCGTTCTGAAGTTTAAACCCACGCGCTGCTGCGACACTGTTGGAATAACAAGCACCACACTTCAGCCAAAGTTTTAAAATCAGAAAACATTTCTCCAGTCRAAGTGATCAGAAGTCAGCAAGACTTTATTCCCAAGTCCTACGAGCTCTGGCTTTTTTAGCAGGAGGAAATCCTACAGCGTGCGCTCCCGCTGCGCCACTGGTTCAGCTGCGCCTCAGACGAGCTCCGAAGCCTCCTGTCCTCAATGCGCTGTCAGCTCCAGGAGATGCATTCAGTATGGTGTCTAGATCTGAGATGATCAAATGGGAATCTTTTATTTATTTTAGATTAAATAARACCTCCGTGATGTAGACCTACTCTGTGCATAAAGCTGAAAATGTCTCCGTGTGCGAGTGTGATGCCACAGAGCCGTCTTGTGAAGCCTCATTGACTTTTTTTCTCCACCTCACCTGGCTTGTTTATTAAGTCTTCCAGACTTAAGCCTGGACACTTTAAAGGGATCCCCGATTAGTTGTAACATTAGACTTTATATGATAAACATATACTTTAACTGTAAAATAAAGACTGTAAAAATACTGTAGGCTGTTTAGTTTTTATAATTTTTAAACTAAAAGTTTAAAAACATATTACACGGACAGAGCCATTTTATTTACACGCAAAGCATTCTGGGAAATTGATGACATCAACTAGGTCATCGGTGCAAGGCTGCTAGCGAGCTATATCCACCCTGAAGGTTAATCTTGGACAATATCTGATGATCGACTCTTTTAAATGAAACCAGAGAGCGTTGACAGAGAGGAGAAGGTAGAAATGACTCAGCCTGTAACTGAAAATATGGATGGAGGACCTCAGTTTAGCTTGTTTGTCGCGCTAGCGCCGAGCTAATACAAATAAGACAGTATAGCGTGAGGGCTAGCTTGAAGGCTAACAGGCTAATCTGAGGTTGTTCTTCCATGAAGCAGCTCTGTTGTCCTCCATCCATATTTTCAGTTACAGGCTGAGTCATTTCTACMTTCTCTCTGTCAACGTTCTCTGGTTTCATTTAAAAGAGTCGATCATCAGATATTGTCCAAGATTAACCTTCAGGGTGGATATAGCTCACTAGCAGCCTCGCACCGATGACCTAGTTGACGTCATATTTTACCCAGAATGCTTTGCATGTAAATAAAATGGCTCCGTCCGTGTTAAAATATATTTTAAAAATTTAGAAAACTAAACAGCCTACAGTATTTTTACAGTCTTTATTTTACAGTTAAAATAAATGCTTGTCAAATAAAGTTTAATGTTACAACTAATCGTGGATCCCTTTAATAAGACGTGTGACAGTGGGTTGATGATTGCGCAATTTCAGCACGTCTTTTCTAGGGCTGTGTATTGGCAAGAATTTGGCGATACGATACATATCATGACAGAGTGGTCACAATATGATATATCCCGATATATTGTGATACTGTAAGCAAGGTGATATATTGCAATATATTGTGATTGTTTTGTACAAATATTCTATTAAATAAAATCTTCTTACTGGGGAAAAAAAGAAAAACCAAAATTCATTGTCTCAGAAAATTCTAATATTACATAGACATACTTTTGATACATTTAGCTGTGTTCTGCTTTGTATGTGTTTTATTTTATTTGTTTCATATTTCATCCATGATTTCAATTATTAGACTAAATTTGCCAATAAATAGTTTGAAAATATATTTTTGCAGCTTTTAGTTTTTAATATTAATTTACCATATGGTCACCCAACACTTAACAATGCTGTCATAAAGTTCATTAAACAGATGATATGAAGCTACTGCACAGAGTTTCTGGGATCAGCTGACCTGCATCCAGAACCTGATTTGTATAACTGTGGGTCGAACAGCAGGGCAAGTCCCGAAGAAAACCAGTAAATAAATGGAGAAGCTAAAAAGCACAGTTAAAACATTTTTGAAGTGAACACAGCAGGATAAACGTAAAGTACATGGACTTTGATGCGATCAGCCGGACAATGAGAGCAACAGAGTTTTATGTCACGGGGGGAGTGCCGAGCTCGCTCGAGGCGATACGCATACGCTATATGCGTAACGTGAAAGCTGACTACAGTTGGAAAAAGAGCGCACAAGACACTTAATTTGGCTTAAAATACAGACATTCTGACAAATAAGTAACTGTTTGTAAACTTACCTCAGCTTAGAAGGCAGAGGGTGTCTGTCTTTTCTGCTCAGATTCAGCTATCGGAGCATGAAGCTAATGTTTACTTTCAATGCTAATGCTACCCTTACTCTCTGGCGCTCAAGAGGTAGAGGAGCCAAATGGCTGGCTCACTGCTGCCAACTAGCGGTCAGAGACTGAACTACAACATAAAAATGAATGGCTGGCAGGAAAGTTGATGTTTTAAACCTTAATTAAAAATCGATACAGGGCTTTAGAATATTGCTACAGTATTGGGAAATGAAATATCGTGATATTTCAGTGTATCGATATTTTCTTACACCCCTAGTCTTTTCCTGACCGAGTATAAACGGGCTGAAGACACGGTGGGCCATAAATTATCATAAATCCTCCCTCTGCCCTCCCACAGCTCATATAAAGTATATAAACTACAATAACGATGGCTGGATAGTGTTTCCTCCACTCAACATCAGTGTTACATTGACTGAAGTAGAGCCTTTATTTATTTATTTATTTTTTTGTTAACAGTGGACAGAAAAAAAGACGTGACCAGCTGCGCGCTCAAGTTCATCCTTGGGACCTGGATCAAACCAGCTGCTCTTTGAGCTCTTTTTAAAACCGGCTTCAGACAAAAAAATATATAATTTTAAACAAAATAACACGCAGAAGGAATTGAGCTGCTCGGGGTCCTGCTCTGGTCCAGCTCCAACTCCTCGTCGCTGCCACAGCTGAGGACCACTGCGRTGCTCCTGATGAACAAACACATCCAAAAACTCTGGACCTATCACTGAGAGCCGCAACGTCCCATCGGCATAGTTCTGACTGGAGGCCATGCACAAGATGGCTGTCAACGGGGGATAGTAGCGGGAGAGCAGACGGAAGTTGCACCTTTTTTTTTTTTTACTCAGCACTGGGGAAAAGACGTGCGACTCGAAGTATAAACCAGGTTTTTTTCCATCATTGTGTAAAAAAACCGGTCAAACACAGAAAATATTCCTTTAACGCAACCTCTRGGACTGAGTCATATGGCCTCGCTTGGCTCTGTAAACCAGTAAATCACATTTTCTAAAAAACAACTGGTTGACAAATAGAATTTGCTGGATTAAAGGTTGGTCAACAATGAGTCTTTCAAATGTCCAAGGAGAAACAGAGGGCATTGTTCTCCCAGGCCACTTATGTATGGAGATACGGGTGTTTCARACACAAAGAGACCCCTGTCTGTGTTTCCCCCAAGATAAGCTTAGAGCCAAACGCTGATTTGTGTTGAAAACTGCATGCTGATTTCAACATTTCTACTTTTAGGCAAAGCTGTRGATTGGACTTCAGAACTTTTTTTGTGTCTTGAAGTCAGCCTGTTGCACACATAATGAATATTGCTCCAAAAGAACACACGTTTCTAATAATTCTRTTTGTTTTATCAGACTTGAGTCTTGGGTTTTCAGGACAAACGTCTAGGACATGCTTGTTAAACCAAGAGACTAGGTCAGGGGTCTGCAACCTTTAGAAAAGTGGTTCTTAACCTTTTTTGAAGTACCGAACCCACCAGTTTCGTATGCACGTTCACTGAACCCTTTTAGTGATAAATAAAATATGATTTTTTTTCCCAAATTCAAGACATAGGTATATGTT